CACTCACTCTCACTCTCACTCTCTCACATAATCACACACTAACATACACTCACCTCTCTCTCTCTCTCACTCACTCACTCACTCACTCACTCACTCACTCACTCACTTGAAAACACACACACACACACACACACACACACACACACACACACACACACACACACACACACACATATATATACATACACACACATATACGTACACACACACACTCACACGCACACTCAACACTTGCACACATCTTTTTTTCCTTTGGAAGAAAAAATCAATGTTATTGTATTATCTGTCTGTTGCTGTAATAAATTTTATTTCGATGTGAATAATGATGCTTCATTAAAGTGTTTGGGGCACATAATGATAAGAATATTACCAATATTTCTCTGTCATATTATCTTCATGTTAGAAATTTTCATACTGAAGTTAAATAGTGAACCTTGTGTGTTTAAAGAAGAGAGAATTACATTAGACATTATTTGACTTGAATATTGAAACACTCTAAAAGAAAAACTCTCCTCCAATGTAGATTTATCAAGGTTGGTTATTTCCGTTTTAATGTTCTCTTTATTCACACACAAATCGTTAGTTTTTTTTTTCTTAACATAACACAACAGTCAACATCATCTAACATCTTCAACATACATTTAAATGGAACCATTGTCCACATCATTCTTAACTCCTTATCACAAATTTGCACACTTAAGCCCAGGAATTAGGTAAATATAGCATACATTATTCTAGTGATTGTGACATCCAAAGGATTGAGTTCTTTCGTACGTACAGGTGATGCATGATAACTCCCTCTTTTCACGTGTTCCTCCATGTGATAATTCAGTATAAATTCTATATTTTTTTAACACCCCAGTAATGTCATGCATAATAATGATTGGAAAATTGCAGCAGATTGAAATGGCATTTGTCTGTTGACTTGTAGTAATACTCTTAAAGGAAAAGGAGTCTGCATGTGCTGGGTAAAGGTTGTATTGCATTAATCTCTAAAATGACACCAAAAAAAAAAAGAAGTAAATTTGATTATTTTTATTGCATTAAGATTAAATGACATTGATTGCTAACAGTTATGATTTACCTGGGATATGGTTACAGCCTGTTCTAATGACATGTGTATCATCAAAATTTGATTCAGTAGGAAAATTTAACCTTGTATAGTATGGCCCATTGCTAGGTCTTTTAGAGCTGAGAAACATTCAGTTTTGCTATTTAAGTATATTTTGTTCAGAGTTTGTTTGATTTGGATAACTAAAAGCTATGGCTTTTAAGTCATCATTTTTTTTAATGTGAATACTATAAAGGGAGAATCATTATATTGTCTTTTGTGCTATTCTTTTTGATATACCATTAGTTGTATTTTTTCTATTGATTTATTTCTTTATTCAGATACTTTAATTGCATTTAAGAAATAAGGGTGTTGTTACAGGATATACTCATATATTACTAAAGGAACCTGACATGTTGCAAAGACAGAGCTGGAGGATATTATACAAGAATATAAAATATAGTGAAGTCAAGTATAGAATAAGGAGTTCCTTTAAATTCTACAGAGTTTGGTAGGATTATTAATCAGTTGCTTTGAAGCCAACTTTGAGCAAATGAAAATGTAGTATATTTGCTTAATAAAAGAGTTAAATTTGGTTCCATTTTAACTCTTATATTGATGGACCAATATCTTTCTCTGACATGATATGGATTTTACCAGATTCATGTCAACAATCACAAATTATCTGGACCCAAACAAAGCTCTATAACAAGTCTGTCTTTATCATCTGAGTTATGTGGTTGATCCAGACAGTGGCTGGTGACTGTAATCTGCCATACAGAAATCAGTGGTTCTGTGAAAGCTTTTGGCATTCAGGAATGAACTGTGATATTGGTCACAGTAAGAGGAATTTGCAAATACATTGATGCTAGATAGGGGTTCTTTGAAATAAATAGAAAGATTCTCTCTTTTTATATTATCTGATAGTATCTGAGTTGAATCTTAGTTACCTGAAAATGGCTTAATTAATCATCATTATAAGTATTATTGTTATTATTGCTAAAATGATATAGAATACATCTTATGGGTATTGTCAAAGATTCAGCAGTATTTATATAGAATAATCCTGAAGTTATGAAAAAGAACTCAATAAATACAAATAAAAGGATCATCTAAAAGAATTCAGGAAAAGGTAAGTATCATATAAATCTGAAATGATTACTTTGGCTTCATAATGATCATCTAAAATAAAATTCTTTTTCTTGCATTTTAAAACATATCTACTAGGAGGAATGGAGAAACATAAAAAGTCCTTTGAATACTTATGTAATCTTCAAAATGTACCAGAATTTGTACAGAGCAAACACAGTTATTTACCAGCAAGAAAATATTGTTTCAGTGATTAGAGACAAACCAAGTACAATTGTGTAAAAAGAAACTAAGCATTGCCTCTGCTCTGAACACATGAAATATGATTGAAAAAAGATTATGTAGATTATTAACAACTGATATACTAAAATTAGTGGCAGTACATTATTTTGATTTTTGTGTATGAAAAGGATAGTTGATATTGATATTTGCATAACATGTCTTAAGGCCATGTCCTTTAGTAAAGTTTAATTTCTTGTTGCATCAATCAGTTTGTTTAGGTTTTAGCGACTAAGTGCTGGAGCGTAGATTCAGCACTGATCCTTGTTTGGAGATTTAGTGGAGGTAGGTAGGACATACAACAAGGGCAAAGAATGACTGAGGAGGTTTTAAAAGTGGATATCAGATGTCTGGACAATGATTGAGACACTTTGAGAAAACTCAAATATCTTTGGGTTTAAACTGAAACATTTTTAAACACATGGTACTGTCTTGATTTGCTGAGTCTTGTGGGATTCTAGATATAACAGATGAACATACAAAAGTATGAATATTATCAAGTAAAAATTGCATGTCTTTTTTTGTGAAATAAAGAGAAGATAGTAGAAAGATGCATTTAGGTATCCTAGTATGACTTTTAGTATTCTTACCAATAAACATTTCAGATCTGTGGTGGATGCAACAGATGTACAGCTCAATATGAGAGTGGGGATACACACAGGCCGAGTGCTGTGTGGTGTCCTCGGCCTGCGCAAGTGGCAGTATGACGTGTGGTCCAATGATGTCACTCTTGCCAACATGATGGAGTCGACTGGTGAACCAGGGTATGTCTAGTTTCTTTGCTTTTTATGTTTGGTCTTAACTTGTTTGGGTGTTTATATAAAGGAGTATGTGGATTTTGAAATGTCCATTGTCCTTTCAAGTGTTGATGATATTGATATCTGCATTATTCAGCATATATAAATGAATTTCCATATAAATTTGTTTTTTCATTGCTATTATCAATTGCCTTTTTTCAAGTTTTAGTATGTTAGTTTTTTTGCACACAAAATTTTCATTGTTATTTTTGTATATTACATCAGTACTCTGATTTATATATATGTATATGTATATATATATATATATATATATATATATATATATATATATATATATATATATATATATATATATATATATATATATATATATATATATATAAATATAATTATATGTATGCACATATTATATATACATATATATATATATATATATATATATATATATATATATATATATATATATATATATATATATATATATATATATATATATATATATATATATATAAAATTATATATATGTGTATATGTACATACATACATATATATATATATATAAATATGTATGTATGTATACATACATACATATGTATATATGTATGTAAATATATATATGTATGTATATACATACACACACACACACACACACACACACACACACACACACACACACGCATGCATTCATAGAGAATGGATATAGATATGAAGCTTTACTAATCTGCCCCATACCTTTTCCAGCCGTGTGCAGATAACACAGGCAACCCTAGACTGCTTAGGCAATGAATATGAAGTCGAACCCTCAGATGCACAATCAAGATCCCAGTATTTACGTGATCGCAACATCGCCTCATACTTCATCATCCCGCCTGCCCGAAGACGCAAGGTATGAGACATCACTTTCATGAGCAAAGAAGGAAATCTTTTGTTTGTACAACTGAGGTCTGCTTAAGGGTGAAGGAATGACAGTAATGCTTTCATGTATCAGATGTTAGAAGCTATTGTACTGTGTGGTTGCCCCAGTGATTTGATATTTCAGGATTTGGTTTCTTTTATGATTTAGTGGATAGCTTAAGGTGTGTTTTCTCTTTTCGTTTTATTTTATCTTACTTTATTTTTATTATGTAAATCCACATGGAACTGTAACCAATCATAAGATTTTTTTTTTTTGTTTTATTTTGACATTCTATTATGCTGTTCATTTTTTTTTTTTTTTTCTGTAAAGTTTCTGTGAGTTTAAGTATGGGAGACTTGAATCATAATAAACTCATGATAGTTCTTCTTTTTATTTTAAGGTGTAACTAAAACTTTTAAAAAATTAATTCAACATTTAGCTTTTGAATGATGAAGACATTGATAAGAGATAATGTTCTGTTTTTTTTGTGCTGCTGCATGTAGTATTTCACTCTATAGTGATTGATTAGGTACATAATCTGGCAGAGGATGTGCTTCAGTATTATTCATATTGAAAAGTTGTACTCTGAAACCCCATATTTCATAATAACAATTTACAAAGAAGAAAAACAAAAAATCTGACTGCAATTGTTAATGTAGGAGGAAAATAAACCCTACAAAGTGAAGATCACACTTGAAGGTTCTGAACCAGAGATAGAGAGGAGGTGAAGTTTCAGGTTTTTTATTACACCCTGGAGTGTGGAGAAGCACTCAAGTATGATGGTCAGTTACATTCCAGTTATCTGATATTCAAATAACTGCTTATGCCAATGCATGCTTTGACTATGCATTATCATTGTGGTGTATATAAGTAGTCAGTTTTGTGTTTTTTTTTTTTTTATTATTATTATTATTTTTTTTTACTTACTCTCAGCATTTTACATTTTCAGAAGCAAACTAGTACAGAAATTCATTTACAGTACGTAACCCCATAAGTCTGAACAGAAAGTACTGTATATCCATTTACTGAGGATTTGAATTTTTTTTTTTTTTTTTTTTTTTTTCTTTTTTCTTTTTTAATATTATTGAAATTGAAATTGAGATTCAAATGCTTTATTAAGATAATATTTTAACTAGATAGATGAATTTTGTTTATGACTTCCAAAGAAAAAAAAAAATTAGGACGAGATAAGCCACGAAAGTTTCCATCATACTAATCAAAAATCACAGCAGTACCTACCGATTGTATAATCATAACCAGCGTTGCCTTTCTTTTTTTAAACGTTGGATTACAGTACTGTCTAAAGAAGGATTTAAAAACAGAACTCTAGAATCCTTCAAATTCATGTAGCTGTTTGGAAATTGCATGAAAAGAAAGCTGGTAACTGTCCTCTTGTACAGCTAATGTTAGGCAGAAGCTCTCCTCATAGCCAGTTAAATACCTATTATTTAAATTTATTGGTTGACGATTTTTTTTTTTTTATTGTTAATTTTATAAAGAACTATTATTAGTCTTCTAAGAATTTGCTGATCTCTAATGGATTCCATGTTAGTCTGTTTAAATAATAACTGGAAAGTTTGCAATATACTAATTCCTTTTTTCATAATTTCCTAATCCTTTTGTTATTTTATATTTATTTTCTTTGGCTGTTGTTGTTTTTTTTTAAATACATTTTCCACTATAAAATTTGCATATTCCCCACTATAAGATCCAAGCTTTCTGGGTTCATAAGTATTAACTTGATGATGGTTCTCCTCATTCGGACTGGTTTGTATTTGTTTATTTATTCTTTTTCCTTTCCTCTTTTACATTTTCCTTTTTTTCTTACTAATTATTATGATTTTTTTTTTTTTTTTTTTTTTTTTTTTTTTGCATGTTTCTATTAAACCGATTCATTATATTTGTGATTTCCAGAACTTTTGCACATCTCGGGGATCCTATCTGTTTACTTTGCTGAAATTATAATACTTTTGATATCTTTTTGCATTTTTGTATTTTAGATTTTTGAATTTGTTATATAAAATAGAATCAGAAAAATATATACAGATCATGCATACTGAAATTATTAATCATGAAGATATGTATGTATATATATATATCAAAATTATTTATTGTTTTATAACAATCAGTTTAGGAACTCAGGAGATTTGTAAAAGTCTCTTTTATGTCAAAAGCTTTCTTTTTTCTGCCTTCATTATTCCTAGAAATGTTGCATTGAGTAAGTTTTATCCTACACATTTCTCCTAAATGTAGACTCTTTGTCACTCTGTGTTGTTAGACTCGTACTATCTTGACTGCTAGACACAGATTATTGTATTCTCCTTGCAGCATGAGAATAGCTTTCTTAAAAGTTAAGTACTGTGCATGCATTTGTTTTCATATGATATGTGTAATCCTTCTTTTAGTGCCTCTCTGTTTAAAGAATTTAGATTAATAAGCCATATGAATTAGTAGAAAGCTGCATGTATCTATTAGTATGATTAGAATTGTGCATTATAATATGCTTTAGAAAAGCACAGTTTGTTATTAAAATTCAGCATTCAGGGTAATTAAATGTATTTTATCTTAATGGTCATGTCATCAAAAGGAATTTCATAAAGTATAAGTCAAGCTCAACAACAATCACACTGATAATTGTCATCTGTTTTGATGTTTATTATGTGTCCATGATATCATTGGACACAGTAGTGGATAGGATACACTCCCCAAAAATAATGTAATGATTAATCTATCATTTTATTGCTTTCGTACTACTGATAGGTCCTCTGATTATTTTGATTTGCAAATTCCTTTGTAACTTTCTTAAACAAAGAGTTTTTGGGATAAATGTACTTTATATTCAGAAGAAAATCCATTCAATGGAAGTTGAAGGGATAAAGTTATTTGGGATTATATTATGATTTTATTTAATACTTTCAAACCATTTGTGGATAATTATCATATGTTTTATAGTAATCAACAAGGAAATTTGAGCTCTGCAGATTGGAAGCTTAAGTTTAATAAGATAAATTCACTATATGCATGTTGGTATAATTTGCTTTTTAGCAAAAATAAAGCTTTTTAATATCAGTAATGCTCTCACACACCAATGTGGCTTTGAGTAGAAGGGGAGGGATAATTTTCAAAAAAAAATTTAGAGGGTTTATCTTACCCTCTCCTTTGGTTACTGCATGTTCTATTTTTATTAAGAGCTGTGTGTGAAAAAAAACTTGTGATCCTGTATTCAGCCTCAAATGGCAGTCTTCCCAGTCTTTCCTTTGGCAGAAAGATTATATGAGACTGAGAGGGGATAGGTTCAGTTGTTCTCCTTTATTTTGTTGTTGATTCTTTTCTTCTGAATAAACAGTTATCAGTGGAATTGTTTATTTCTCTTAGATGTCTAAAAGATCAACAATTATCAGTGTAATTGTTTTTTATCACTTGATTAA